CTGCTGAAATATAAATTGAATTTAACATGAATGATGTTTGGATTGGATTTTATATGGATGGTTGTTAATGTGCTCTATTTTTTCCCTCAGTAGGCATTGGCTTTTAAATAGAATTATCTATCCCTCATTCTTATTATAAGACATTTAAGAATAAGTTGATAAAATATGTTGTAAATTGTTAGGCATTAAGTTGTGGGCTGTTTTTCCCCCCTCTGACCTCCAGCATGCATCTTTCTCCCTTTTTCAGGAACAGTACTGGCGTTCTGTTGTATTTCACAACCATGTGGATTACTTATCAAAAAATGGCTATGAGCTTGATGAAAATGCTAAAAGTCAGTCAGTGAAAGAACAGCAAGAACTTCTAATGAAGCTGTTTGCTGTAAGTACAAGTAAATAAAAAAAAAATAGAATCTCTGAGACTATATTTTGTGTAGGTGGCATTTGATGTAAACTTGGATGTCATTCCTCTTACTAGAAGTCTGGCTAGTGACTGGCAATCCAGCTAGTTCACAGACTACAACAAGAGGTGACTGCAATTAATATCAACCGTATCCTGGGCTGCATCAAGAGCAGCGTGTCCAGCAGGTCGAGGGAGGTGATTCTGCCCCTCTGCTCCGCTCTTGTAAGGCCCCACCTGGAGTACTGCATCCAGTTCTGGAGCCCCCAACATAAGAAAGACATGGAGCAGTTAGAACAAGTCCAGAGAAGGGCCACCAGGATGATCCAAGGGCTGGAGCACCTCTCCTATGAAGACAGACTGAAAGAGTTGGGGCTGTTCAGCCTGAAAAAGAGAAGGCTCCGGGGAGATCTTATAGCGGCCTCCCAGTACCTGAAGGGGCTACAAGAAAGCTGGGGAGGGACTTTTCATAAGGGCAACTAATGACAAGACAAGGGGAAATGGGTTTAAACTGAAAGAGGGGAGGTTTAGATGAGATATTAGGAAGAAGTTCTTCAGTGTGAGGGTGGTCAGACACTGGAACAGGTTGCCCAAGGGAGTTGTGGCTGCCCCATCCCTGGAAGTGTTGAAGGCCAGGTTGGCTGAGGCTTTGAGCAACCTGGTCTAGTGGAAGGTGTCCCTGCTGCTGGCAGGGGGGTTGGAACTGGATGATCTTTAAGGTCCCTTCCAACCCAAACCATTCTATGATTCTATGATTCTTTTACTATTGTTGTTGCTTATCAGTATGAAGGGTGAGAGGAAGAATTTAATTTTTTATTATTTTTTTAAAAAAAAGCTTTTATTTTTTGCTCTGCAGGTCATGGTTGTTGGTGGTTTTGCCTTTATTCATTCACTCCACCAAGACCATAATATTCTGGAACTGGAGTCTTGAGGGTGCTGTGCAGCTGTGAAGTGTGTAACTCTCAGGGTTTCTTTTCTTTCAGCTTTCTTGTAAACTGGAGCGTGAATTTCGTTGTGTGGAACTTGCTGACCTCATGACACAAAACGTTGTGAATTTAGCTATCAAGTATGCTTCTCGCTCTCGCAAACTAAATTTAGCTCAGCGACTTAGTGAACTGGCTGTAGAAAAAGCAAGTGAGTTGGCAACAGCATCGGAAGATGAAGAGGAGGAAGAGGATTTCCGAAAGCACTTGAGTGCTGGGTAACACAAATTTCTGTGATTAAAAACCTGGGAACGTTTTTACTGAACTATTAATATTTTGATCCAGTTGATACACTTTTCTGGACTATAGTTTGCAAGATACTTGTTGTGAAATAATAATTTGTGTTGCTCTACTTATAAATTGTACATATAAAATGGTACATTCCTGTTGTTACCTTGTGAGGACTCGTTAGTACCAGGTTACTAACGCGAAGGGAAGTATCTCCATCTTTGCTTACTGTGTGTCTGTGTTCAACAGCTTCAGAGGCAAAGCAGGCTCAATACCCAGTTACTCTGACTGGAATTTTCTTCTTCTTTTTTTTTTCCCCCCTTTCCTCTAGCTTATGTTGGTTATTTGACTCCAACCTATTTTTTTTCCTCTTTGTCTCAGTCTCTCTACCTCCCTTCATTCCCCACCTATCTTAAAATCCTTCTATCTTTCTCCAGCCCTCTTCTCTTTCAGTAGCCAATCTCAGTAAATCCTATTTTTTTCCCTCCTAATTAACCCCAGTTTTCCAAAGCTTTGGAAATACTACAGGTTTGCTTTGCATTTTTTTCCCCTCTGTACCTGTGCCATCTGCCTTTCCTTTCCTACCTGCATTTGCTTTGTAAAGCACGATAAGGCAAAAGATGTGTGGTGGTTTTTGTTTTGTTTTTGTTTTGTTTTTTGTTTTTTTTTTTAAAAAAAAAACAAACAAACAAACCAGACCATACAGAAGAGCTGTTTTCTTGTTTGGCATCTGGATGGTACAGCTGTAAGGAAGACAGTCACTAATCACCAGTCTGATAGCACAGAAAAAATGTCATAATGTTTTGTCAGAAGCAATGTCTTCCTATAACAATTTTATAGATGAAGTTTTTGGAACTTATTTAAGTAAGAGGAAGTGTTAAGTCCCTGAGTTTATCTCTAGCTTTTCCCTCATTCTTCTGTGTGAAACTGCACATTTAAAATTCCTTTCTAAATGCTCTGCCTTGTTCTTCTGGATCATACATGGAAGGTGCAATCCCGTGTCTATAACTTCAGCCCCTCTGAGGGTTAAAATTCATCACAAACATTATATTGTTCTTAGTGCCAGATTAATCTAATACGGACATTGTGGTTGAAAGAAATGAGCCTTTGGATTATGTATACACAGATTTTAATAATCAGCAAAGATTAGAAGGGAAATGTAAGAAATGTACATACTACTATACTGGGAAATTTAGAGAATATTCAGATTAAACATTAGAATTCATTAATTTCTAATGTTTGGACTAAGCTTTGGACTGAAAATATGCATCCATGTTATAACCTGTGTATTTATTCATATATGCAGAAAAATAATCTGATATCATTTATTATATTGGAGGTATATGTGTTTAAATTGAGATTATGGGAGATGTTTTATGTTTGCATTTGTATTTTTGATAGAGTGTTCAGGCAAAAATAGTGATGATGATGATGATGTGCACTCTGAAGGTGGCCAAAGCTGTTTGTGTTCAGGTGCTTGCTCTTGTATGCAGAGCTGTTTGAAGGCCAGTGCCTGTACTTCTAGCTGAGTGTGAATTTCAGGCAGTTTGGTAGCTGTGTGTGGTCTTCTTTTAAAACTACACGAGTACCACTTCAGGCAATTGCACTTGATGTTTCAGAGTGAACTGAAGTGGTTAATGAATCTTCATTTCATTTTTAGTAATCATCACAGTTTCATCAGAGGTATAATGCAAATAAATGCCACATGTTATTCTTCTTATCTCCTAAATTAAGTAAGTTACTCTTCCTTTGTTCCAGTTTTCCTTTTGACTGTGGTGACCACTTCCTTTCTGATAAATTCCTTCCATTTAGTTACAGCAACTCTGCCACAGAGTGGAGTCGGCTGCCGGTCCAGCAGGACCAAGAAATGGAAGCTACTGAGGAAACTGATGCCTCTGAAGAAGCAGAAGAAAAACCAGAAGTGCATAAACAGAGTAAGAAAAATCTATTCTCTGAATAGACTGGAAGTTACCTGGTTGTATCTTTCATAGACTTAATAAGGAATTCTGGAAAATTCCCAGGTAATTTGTAGTTTGGGTCACTCAGCAGTCTATAGGACTATGCAAACAACAGGGTTTTCTGTCTATGGTTTTGTTTTGTTCTTTTAACATACTGTTTAGGAAAGACAGGCCCACCACCTGTCATGGGACACCACAAGTGAGGTACAGGAGGTTTAATATGAACACGAGGCGGCAACGTGCGCTGGCAGCACAGAGGCCAATAACTGTGTCCTGGGCTGCACCCAGAGCAGCGTGGGCAGCAGGTGGAGGGAGGGGATTCTGCCCCTCTGCTCCGCTCTCCTCAGACCCCACCTGGAATACTGCGTCCAGTTCTGGAGCCCCCAACACAAGAAGGATATAGACCAGTTAGAACAAGTCCAGAGGAGGCCCCAAGGGTGCTCCGAGGGCTGGAGCACCTCTCCTATGAGGACAGGCTGAAAGAGTTGGGGCTGTTCAGCCTGGAGAAGAGAAGGCTCTGGGGAGACCTTATAGCGGCCTCCCAGTACCTGAAGGGGCTCCAGGAAGGGTGGGGAGGGACTTTTCATAAGGGCAGTTAATGACAAAACAAGGGGAAATGGGTTTAAGCTGAAAGAGGGGAGGTTTAGATGAGATATTAGGAAGAAGCTCTTCACTGTGAGGGTGGTGAGACACTGGAACAGGTTGCCCAAGGAAGTTGTGGATGCCTCCTCCCTGAAAGTGTTGAAGGCCAGGCTGGATGAGGCTTTGAGCAACCTGGTGTAGTGGAAGGTGTCCCTGCTGCTGGCAGGGGGGTTGGAACTGGATGAGCTTTAGGTCCGTTCCAACCCCAACCAGTCTGTGATTCTATGATTCTATGATTTAGAAGTCATTCGTGTAAACAGAAAATTATCCCATTTGTTTCACTGAGTTTTGAAACTGCAACTGTAGCAGGGACTAGGTTTTCTACTACCTTGTTAGAACAGATCTGGTAGTTTCTGATCTGTCTTAATTTGGGTGTTTAGGTATGAAAAAAGGCACAGGAATAAGGGGGTGACATGCAGTAACTCCTGCAGTAACTCTGAGCTTCTCATTACTTTGAATTCCCTAGGTAATTATCCCTTGAATTACCTAGGTAAAGATAGATTGTTTTGTAAGAGTATACATACAACTTGAAAATAAGAATCATGCTTTAAAATCACAGAATATTAGGGATTGGAAGGGACCTCGAAAGATCATCCAGTCCAACCCCCTGCCAGAGCAGGAACCTAAATGAGATCACACAGGAAGGCGTCCAGGCGGGTTTTGAATGTCTCCAGAGAAGGAGACTCCACACCCTCCCTGGGCAGCCTGTCCCAGGGCTCTGTCACCCTCACTGTAAAGAAGTTCCTTCTCAAGTTTAAGCAGAACCTCCTGTGTTCCAGCTCACACCCATTGCCCCTTGTCCTACCATTGGGCATCACTGAGAAGAGCCTGGCTCCATCCTCCTGACATTCACCCTTAACATATTTATAAACATTAATGAGGTCACCCCTCAGTCTCCTCTTCTCCAAGCTAAAGAGCCCCAGCTCCCTCAGCCTTTCCTCAGAAGGGTGGATTGTTTTCCTGTAACTTGCTTGTCTGTTTGGCGTTTTGTTTTTTAACAAATTATGCTATTACATTTTATTGCACTTTAAATGCTTACATCTTTCTTTATTCTGAAGGACCAAGTCCTTTCTGCAAAGGTGTCACTTCAGCAGAGTTGAGTACTCCAAAGTCTGGTGAGTAAATCTGTTTATTCCAGATGAGAACTTTGCCATGCTTCACAGTACCTTCTGCTTTTTATCCTCTATTTTCCCATTACTACTATCATTTAGTGCATAACATTTTTGTCAAGTAGTAGCTTGTACTGATCGTTGTTCTCACATTTTTAAGAGGTTCCCTATTCCTGTTGATGTCTTCATGACCTTATGATGTTCCCTGACACTATGCTGATTGCCTTAGCCATGCCAAATGCTCAATCAGTTCTCTGCCTGGCTGTGTGGTGAAGGCATTCTTTGGGACAGGGGAAAAATGAGAACAGTGATCAGTTCATTTGGTTTACACATCATAGGCTCATTTACTGGTTGCACTTACACAAGGCAGAGTTAGTAACCCTGTTGTAGAACTGTAGGTCTGAGCAGGCAGGGGCAGAATGTGACCTCTTGCTGCTTCCCTCCTGCCAACCCTCTAACAAGAAGAATAGGAGTGGAAACGGATTTGGGAGTGGAGGAAATACTGGGTCTTCCTGTGGATTTGTATTTAAGGCTGTTGGTCTTGTCTGGCATTTCTGATGACTAATAATAGCTGAGCATGTATAGTGTAACCTTCATGGGGTTATTAAAATGTCTTTCTCTCTATTTAACCGCTTTCAAGCCTGGTGGGAACTTCTTTCCTTTGGTGTGGAATAGTTGATGCCTTTGATTTAGTCCTTCTCTTAATTTTCAATGAACAGAGGCTGAAAGACACAAAATAAGTGTTAGCTTTGTTTTTTGAAAATGATGTTGTTTCATCTACTTGTCTAAAATGTCCACATTGCTTCACGGATTTTTATATATGTGTGTGTACACACATGCACATGTTTTTACATTCTTTTTTCTTTCCTATTAAATAGTTGTAATTACCTCAAGCAGCCAAGGACGAGTGAATCCCTTCAAGGTAAGAATTTTGCAGCTTGGTTTGATCTCAGTGTTCTGAAAATCACAACAGATTATTATATCTAAAGTTTATCATATAATTATGACAGGTATCTTGGAGGGACAGAGGAGAGGAACATGCCAGAAACCAAATAAAATGTCTGTTTATTTGTTTTGCTAGGTGTCATCTAACAAAAAGGACCCCATGGTCCCCTCAACAAATATTCTAGACACTATGAGCAAATACTCAAAGAAAACTTCTTTGTCTGGCAGTCGAGCTGGGAACAAGCAGAACCCTCCAGTTATAAAACCTCTGATTCCCAAACCCAAGACCAAGCAGGTAATGTTTCTAGTCTTTTTACATTGTTTCAGTGAGCAAAGAACAGTAAATTGAATTTTACCAGCTTCTATGAAGTATGAAACCATGGTGATTGACTGAAGCACCTTAAATGGCAAAGTTCATTTAAGCATACTGCAGAAACTATAAAAAGCACATAAAACAGCAAAAAAAAATAAATACAGTTATGGAAATTGCATTCTGCACTGAATCTTGTGCTTTTATTTTAAATAGTGTTAACTAAATACCTACTGTGCTAAAATTGGATGGATTAGATTCTATAGGAATGCAAGTGATTATTATGTCTCTAGGAAAGGCTTGGGTTTTGTTAGGCTGCATGGTATTTTTTGTCTGAGACTGAAGTGTTTTTACTGTTTTTTCTTATTATTATTTTCTTTTTAAACCTCAATTTCTATAGGCATTAGCAGCTTCCTTCTTCCAGGCTCGTACACCTAACTCTAGTGAAAAAACAGTGGAAGAAAGAGAAGAAAAAGCACCAAACGACTCCCACGAAGTCAAAGTCACTGCACAGGAGAACACTGAAAACAGAAGGTGAGTGGACACTTGCATCTCAATGCCATATTCCAATTTTGATAGAATAGCAAGTCCAAAAACTGTTTTGTTTCTGAAGATGTTGGACTGGCTGAAGTAACATCAAGATTAAAGTATTAGTACACAAATTGTCACGTTTCAGAAATTTAGTAAACTGCTACTTATACTATGCATATTATCAAACAAACCTGCAGAAAATACGGTTGGATTTCTGAAACGCCACATTACAATCACAGTGAAAGAACAGAGAAGAGCATTCTGTTCATTAAATCTCTCCCAGTGTGCAGGTGTTATTCAAAGTAGAAGTTTTGCATCAGCCCGAGACAAATACGTGTGTGAGTGAATAATAAATAAGCAATGCAAAATGTAATTTTGGGGCTCTAAGCAATGATTTTTGCTTTGATACTCCTTATGCATCTGATGATGACCTTTGAATATAGGTCTGAATGACAGGCTGAAAGAGTTGGGGCTGTTCAGCCTGGAGAAGAGAAGGCTCCAGGGAGATCTTATAGTGGCCTCCCAGTACCTGAAGGGGCTACAAGAAAGCTGGGGAAGGACTTTTCATAAGGGCAGTTAATGACAAAACAAGGGGAAATGGGTTTAAGCTGAAAGAGGGGAGGTTTAGATGAGATATTAGGAAGAAGTTCTTCACTGTGAGGGTGGTGAGACACTGGCACAGGTTGCCCAGAGAAGCTGTGGCTGCTCCTCCCTGGAAGTGTTGAAGGCCAGGCTGGATGAGGCTTTGAGTAACCTGGTCTAGTGGAAGGTGTCCCTGCTGATGGCAGGGGGGTTGGGACTGGATGAGCTTTAAGGTCCCTCCCAACCCAAACCAGTCTGTGATTCTATGATTCTATGAATGATAAATGAAACCGTGCTGCCCTGCCAGTTCCAAGTATAGGAAATAGTTAAAGTTTAAACATCTCTAGCAAATCTCAGAGGAGAGCTGAAACCTCACGGTTTTACATGGAAGTGTTAAAGCTTTATTTTAGTGTGTTCTTTTAAAAAAGAAAACAAACAAGGAACTTATATCTCCTAAGGAGCACGTCTCTTCCTAGCTAAGATTCTAATCTGCCTTGTTCCTCTGGAGCAGATATATTTTCTAACAATCCCAGTCCTCATGAAATTTGCATTATTATAATCATGTTTCACATAGACTTCATTTAATTGAGGGAGATGAAGGTAATTATTATTCATTTGGACTAGCATTCTTTTCATTAACCTTTACAGATAATGTTCTAAAACAAGTGGCAGGGAGAAGTGTGAAAAGGATTAGCTGAAACATGCTAATGTACGTGCTCTATTTTTAGGTTGATGGGACCCTGTCAGAAAGGAAGAGAACCATTATGCTTTGTCATTCCAAAACTGAAATGTTAATCTCCATATATATCACAGTTTTAATAAAAATGCTTGACTTAGTCTTGCCTCGTCAGCATGTTCTTTGAGCATACTGGGATAGGAGAAAGCAAACTGCTGAGACATGTCTTTTCTTTCAAGAACATGGAAGTCCAGTTAGGTGTTGTTTAGAAATGTTGTTTTGGGGGATATGGTTTTTCCTATAACCTTCTTCAAAGGACAAATTTTTGTGTGCTTGTTTTAGACCAAAGACAGGATTCCAAATGTGGCTAGAAGAGAACAGAGCAAACATTTTGACAGATAATCCTGATCTGAATGAAGCAGAAATAATAAAAGAAGGCATGAGTCGATTCAGAATTCTGTCATCAGAAGAAAGAACGGTAAGAAAACGTTCTCTAATTCTGGGGGGTTTTTGATAATTTTTCCCCCCACTGAATTTCTTGTTTATTTTTGGTTAGGAATTTTTTCTTTAAATTCCACTGTTTTCCATCTTCATGCACTTCAGTTTTGAATTGGTCCATGATCTATGATATGTACTTTATGAAAATATGAAATGTCTGAGTAATAATTAAAGGCAGAAAGCAGCTTTTTTTCCCAAAGTGAGAGAAATGTAATCAATTAAGAAATAGCAAAAGAGAAGGGAAGGAGTTAGAAGTGACATCACCAGACTTAATTTACTGGACTAAATTTGTTCTATTTGTTTTGGGTTTCTCATTTGTCCAGAAAGACAATTAATAGCTTCAATTTCATATACAGGCTCAAATGAAGTACAGTTTTGAAGGAGAATGCTGTTAGAAAAAAGGAAAGTGAAGAAATTGTTCCTAAATTACTAGTTATTAACAGGAATTATTGCAGTGCCTCCTTAGAATCAGAGAAATAAGTTTTATCAAATAAAGAAGTGAATTTTGTTGCCTAATTTGTAGTTTTCTGTTTAATGGTGTATTTCCTTCAAAGGTGTGGACTGAGAAAGCAAAAGGAGGAACAGTTAATGATTCAGCAGAAGATAAAAAGCGAAAACGTCCCGCAGCTGATGACGATGAAGTGAAGAAGAACCAGGAGCAAAAATCAGAGGACTCAAATTTACCCAAAAAACCAAAGCCTTTGGATCAATCTACGAATGTCAGACTGTCAGCTTTTGCATTCAAGCCAAGCTAAATAACGTGGTACTTCCTTACCTGTTTTCTGAAAACATTAGGTAGCCCCATATTGAGAAACCTGCTGCTCAAAGAGCACCAGCAAAAAGAGTGCCTTGCTCCAAATAGTCTTTTAGAAAGTATTTTATTATCAATTCTTGAGGGAAATGTTGAATCTACTCTCCCAATCTTTTGCAAGTTACTAGGATAAAACTTGAGAGCAGAACTAATCCTAATGGACCTCTTCCCTAGAAGCACAGTTCCACACATGGTGTGTAGCTGTCTGCCTCGATGCTTGTAATATTTGATACTAAATACAGATTAATCCTTCTGGGGAGGATAAACCTTGTACAAAAACTGTCCTTTGGTTTTAGAGAGGCAAAGTAACGGCTTCTGTACCATCCTTTCTGCCTGCTGCCAGCAATTGGAAGAGAAATACACTCCAGGAAGTGGGAGTGAGGGGTAGATAGCTTAGTGTGTTGCTGGTTTTCAGCTGCATTTTCAACATCTGTGGCTGTGACAGTGGCAGAGAGCAGCCTGGTGAGGGCAGGGGGAGAAAACCAGGGCCAGAAGGGGAATTTGGAAGGTCAGGTGTGCAAAAAATGAGCCATTCCAGACTGTGCAAATCTACTTTCCCAATTTGTGCCTCAGCAGTGTCCAGAGAGTGCTCAGAACTTGAAAATCTCTGTATTGTTTTATGTAATGTTTGTTTTTAAAATAAACTCTGAATGTTTCTTGGTTTAAGGTAGTGATCTCCTTTGTAGTTTTCATAATTAAAGTAGAGAGACTTCTACCCACAAGTCATAGGGCAGTTGTATTTACCCTTCTCTGGAGAAAAGGCAGTGTGTATAATTAATGTATTTGAAGCAAACTCAAATTTTGAAATTTTTTTTTAAAGATAAGGTAAAATAATTTAACTCTTTAGTGTAACAACTGAGACTGAAGAGTTCTAATTTAAGTTTTTTTTTCTCCTGGGTTCACACATTGTTTCATTATTTCCTTTTTCATTCTTCATTTCTCTTCATATTATTACTAAAAAGGCTAAACTACTGTTTACAACATTTTTTTAACATTTAAATCTATAGAGTGAAGATTCAGTGAGATTTCTATAAAAGCCACTAAATTTTAGTGTAAGAGGTGCTTTGCAAGACTTTTTAGCAATTGTTATTGGTCATTTTGGAGAAAAACAGCTTCTGGTTTCAGTATTTGTAGAAAATGAGGGTCATGGTGTCAACAAGGCCTGGGAAATACAAACACAGACAGACCTGA